GGATTATAAAGCGATTTGTTTGTTGAAAATTATGAATCTGAGAACACAGGCAGCCAGCTCAAGCAGCTCCCACACGCTCTGTGTTTGTGTGCGTGTGCGTATGTGTGCGAGGGTGTGTGTCCCAAGACTTGACGAAATATGGTTGGAAGCCAGCCTTAAGTTGGCTGCATTCCTTATCCACATTTGATGAATTTTTGACTTAAGCTGCAGCTTATGAAAATTGATTTCAATTTACAATGGAGCTAGTTATAAAAGTAAAACTCTCCCAAGTAGTAGCTTAAGTCATCCAATCACATTTGATCAGGTTGGCTGGGAAAAGCATTTCTTTTCAGTTTCCCCCCAATCAAATGGAATTGCAATCTTATCTCAGTTTAGTCCAAACTAGACTTTCTTCCTCTTCTCTTTTCTTTGAACCAAGTAACATTTTGATTACTTTATTAGGCTTCCCTTCCGACAATGTCTGGCTTAGAGCCTAGTTAAGTCGCTTATCTAATCTGAGCCCTCAGCTCTGGGTCGCCCGATTCATTGCCTCGTCATGTGGCAGTGATCAAGTGGCCTGATCTTTTGCTTCATTAGGTTCGTTTATCAATGTTATGCATATGTTGAAAATGCTTACACGCTTCGATCGGATTGAACGATCTGTAGATGGGCTGTGCGACAACCATAAATAACCAAATTTCGTTGGCCCTTCATTGATTTGAATTGGAATTGGAATTGGAATCGGAATTTGAATTTGAATTGGCAATAAAACGCTGAGTTTATCAGTTGTCGAAGTGGTGCCGCCATGGAGACGATTTCTTTTTCCAGTCTATCCGCTGGCTGGGTCCAACTTGTTATACAACTCTATTAGTTTTTCATGCCCAGCCACAGCTGCATACAAATCAACTAATTTGCTTTGGAAATGCCACGCGAGTCGGTGCAGCAGCAGCAACTACTTGAGGCAGTTCCTTGATTTCGTTTCAAGACCTTTCTCTCTCGCTCTCTCTTGCAGCATTCCCCCCTCTCTCTAGGTCTTGCTAATAACTAATGTAAATCTATTTTTCTGGTCGAGTTTGGCTCGACTTGGCTTTTATCGCTTTGGCATTTGAATAGATTTTTCAATTTTCAGCTGCATTCGTATCCGAAAGCTTAAATCCACTTGTCATTGTCTGTGGATTTGACTGTTTGTCATGTCTCGCTCTCTCCCTCCCATTCGCTCTCTCTCTCTCTCTCTCTCTCTCTCTCACTATCATCAGCCTCAATGTCATGGAATGCTATTATATTTTTGCTAGTTAACTCAATTACTTTGACGCTAAAGCTCTGCCATTACACAGTAGAGTGGTGCAGACCTTTTACTCGAGCTTTTGGTCTAGTCATCAGGCATGACAGGCCGAGAGTCTCTATTTCCCAGTTGCTTCATTATTAGTGCAAATTATGGCTGCCCAGCTCCCATAACCTACAGCAACAGCAACAGCAACAGCAACAGCAACAACAACAACAACTGTCTGTCCTTTTTGCTGGCCTGTGTTGTTTTATTCCCTGGGAATTCCAGTAGATGACTTGCCCGCAGACCAGAAACTCAAGTCCTGTGAAAAAATACACAACTCAGCCGAATAACGAAAGCCGAAAGAAGCAAAGGCGAAATTCCAGGCACGTTTCACTGCTGAAACATGAACATCCTTCGACGATGCTTTAAAATGCCAGACAAACTGACAGCAAGCGAAATCAAATTTGATTGTGGGCGTCAGGCTATCTATTCCCCTCCCTCGTCCCACCTCCCTTCCACCTCTTCACTCCACCCACTCTGCGCTCTGGAATCCTGTGCCCACGCATCCTTAGCTGGAATTTCGTGTTGATGGTCGCAAATTTGGCGCTTCATTATGTAATATTATCCGATGGCTCTGGTTTACGCTAGGCACTCGTGGGAAAATGCATAAATACCCAAATTAATTCAGTCTGCTGCGGCTAACCAATATTTTGATTTGCCAAAAAACTGAGCTAAAAACAGTCAAATATAAACATTAACAGACCATTTCAGGTCGTCAACTCTTATCGTATGCATATTTTGTTTGTTTATTTTTAACACGCCTGAACTCGATGATTTGTTCAGGGCTTTGTTCACAAACTTTTGTTGTTGCTTAACTTTCACAAGATTTTGGCTACGGTTTAGAAAAGAAAACTTTCAACTTTTCGAGATGTCTATTGAGTAGACATCAATACAATGGTGGATATTTATGTGTGTATATTGTCTATAGAATTCGATTTGCTGTTGTCTCTTTAATTGGCTCTCAGGCTGTTTCAATTGATTGGCCTTGTAGGCATTTTTCCGCTAATTTTATTGTTGAGCTCGGCCCTTCAATGCAAATAGAAGCAGTTATGATTATTTTTGTTCCATTTCGCAATTCGCCGTTCGCCGTTCGCAGTTAATTCTCTGTATTAAATGAAAAGCCAACTCGTATTGTAAACATTTGGCAATCGCCCCCGCCCGAGTGTTTATGTAGTTATTTTCTGGCATGTTGGCATAGTTATAAGGGGGCCGAATGTGCGTGTGTGTGGGTGTGTGGGTGTGAGTGTGTGTGCTGCGTCGCTTGGCTTCATATCGTATTAAATTTCAATATGTATGGCCCCATTTATATTTACGCACAGGGCAAATAAAAATATGTGGAATATATGTATAAGCGAAAATAATGTTCAAACATTTGCACTAATTAAAAAGCTGTATGTGAGTGTGTGTGTGTGTGTGTGTATGTTTAAATACGAATACAAATACAATATTCAGCGCGTACGCAGCGAGGCGGGGCAATCGTAGGACATGTGTAATTGCTTTTCTGCCAACAACAATGAAACGCATATTTGTTGTGCACGTGCGTGTGTGTGTGTGTGTGTGTGTATTTGTATTATTGTTGTGTATTGTCATATGTACTGTTACATTGTATTATTATTTCTCTTTTTCTGTGTTGTTTGGTGGTGGTGGGCGTTGTGCCGGCTCCATTCAATTGGCAAACATTGGCTGGCAGCCGGTTTAGCCCGCCTGAGGCACGAATCCGCCAAAACGATTGAAACTGAAGACGTTTTGGACATTGGACGACGCCCACGCACTTGACAGCAACCAGGCAACCAGGCAACCAGGCAACTGGCAGCTGGGGCAACCGAGGCAACTGGCAGCTGACAGCTGTCGCAACATTGCCCAAGTCAAAGCCACTCGACAGCGACTGCCATCAAAGACAAATCAAACCAACGACTGCAGAGTGGAGAGATTCACGTGACTTTACAATTTATCTGAGGCATGCAGCGAAATGAATTTATTAATAGCCGAGCTGCATGAGCCAGCCAGCAGAAGAAGAAGAAGAAGAAGAAGAAGAAGAGTAACTGCCACCCACACGGCCGACTGGGAGTAAACAGCAGCCAGGTACTTCAAGCTGTCACTGTGTGCGTGTGTGTGTGTGTGAGTGTGTTCATTCATTCAAAAAGATTCGCATTTCGTATTCGTTTGCGTGCGGCGAAATTCTCTTTCTTTCCCGGCGTCAATTTATGCGCATCACGTTTTCTCATTTTCGAGAATGACTAAATATCGCTTACTCCACTCCACTCCACTCCAGTCCACTCGATTCCGCCACCGGCTGCACCACCTCGGCCCACATTTGGCCTTTTCGGAGTTCGGATGCAGTTGCAGCCGTTGGCACAAATATTATTTAACCATTTGCCACGTGAAAACTTTTGCAGTTTCTCTCTCTCTCTCTATATATATATGTAACTACATCTATTGCTATAGTTACACAGTTATCTCAACTATATAGGAGTATGAGTGTGTGTGCGACGAGGCGTGGCAAGTGCAGCAGTAACTTTTTTTTTTTTGGTTTTCGGTATTTTCTGTTGGTAGCAGAGACCTCACCTGGAGCTGCATTTTTCATTTGGCGTTGAAGTTCGGCGACTGTTCAGACTGCTAATGCCAGAAACGTGCCGAATGCTTCAGCGACTGGCTCTCACCCAGACAGAGGCGTCGCTGCCGAAAGGGGCGCATCACGGGCATCATTGAAGCGAGTGCTGAAACTTGACTTGATAAAGCTGCAAATGATGAGTCCAAATTTGTCTTTAAATCTGGAAAATCTCTAAATATTAAAGCCAACTTTAAAGGAGATATTTTTCTCACAAACTAAAAGTATCCCACGATGTTGTTGCATCACACTTACACCTGCTGATTAGCTTAGTTAGCAATGGCTTCTGAAATACCTGCTACTAGAGCTTGCCCGTCCGGCTAAGCCACTGGCAGGGAATGTAAGTGCAGCACTTGTCGCTTGCAAATTAGTGTTAATTTATCATGATTATTGTTTCACAACGAATCGCAAATTGAGTTCGCTTAGTCAAGTGATGGCAACAGCAGCGTCAGAGTCCTGTCCCTTCAGTTCCCCCCACCCAATCAGTCCTTTTGTGTTTTTTAATAAAGCAAATTCGAGCAGACCATTCAGTAGAAGAATAGCAGCAACTGTAACTAATGCTGTCTTCCAGACTGATATCAAACTGTCAAGCTGTCAATTCTCGTTAGCAGCGATTGCCATATGGATGATGTGGGGAGCTGTGTAGCGCACTCGGCGCCGTAAGAGCTGTATCGAGTGCTGTTCAAAAATTCAATTTCCAGCTGAAAAGATACAACGATAGCAGCATGAGTTGTGAGATGGGGAACTGGGGGCTCTCAGCTGCTGTAGAGCTGCACGTGTATCTGAACGTATCTTCCGGAGTGGGCATGGTCGGAGCTGTGGCAAACAAATTGGAAATAGGTAGAAAACAGTCATTGAAAAACGATTGCTGACGTGGCTCTGGCAGGTGATGCATGACGCCAGCGTCGGCTCTAGCCAAGGCTGGGCAGGATTAGCGCACGAGCAATGGCTGAGCTTAGGCTGAGCCGAAACATATGAGAAATGTGAAAGCCTTCATATTGACAGCACAATTAAGACTTTAATTGGCTCGACTAACATGGACTTATCTCTCTCTCCCCTCTCTCCCCCTCTCTCTCTCTCTTGCAGGAGCTGCAGTGAAGCCGACGCAAACCCGTTCAAAATGTGCAATAGACAACTGCAGTAGACAGAGGCGATAACTGGCAACAGCGCAGTCAAAGGATTGGCAAGAGCAAGCATCAGGAGTCGGCTAACTCCCCTTACGACAGTCCCCCACCCACCCGCACACAGTATGCCATCAATTGCCAACATCAGTGTCAGCTCGACATCGCCAACAATGGTCGGCTTCCTGCCTGGCAACGATGCCCGCCTTAGTTACATTGTAAATCAAGTTGCGTCCGCATCCGCATCCACATCCGCCGCATCCGTCGCATCGCCCGCCCTGCCCACGTTCAGTCCGCCGCGCATTGAGAGCTTGGTGGCCAGCTCGGCGGAGGATTTGGGCGGCTTTGGGGATGTGACGTTCGACATCTTCGATGACGATGACGATTTGTTTGGCTCGCCGATGGCCTTCGATGCCAGCGAGCAGGGCCTGTGGAACGGACGCTTTGTGCCGCCGCCCCCGCGGCCGCCCTTCTTCGTCGACGAGCCCGTGCTGAGCGATGGCCTAACCACATGTGATTTATGCTCCTGGGCCATGCCCACCAAGAGCACGTTCATGTTCGAGGGCACGATAGGTGAGTCAACTCTGCCTCTCCCACTCCCACTCTCTCCCTTTCTCTGCCTCTCTCTCTCTCTCTCTCTCTCGCTCTCTCTCTGTCAATTGGCAACAATATTTTCTAACCGGATATCCTTGCTTGTTCCGCTCTTGCAGAGAAGGCCACCGAACTGGGCTGGCCACTGACGCTGATCATAGTGTCGGTTCTATCGGCGCTATTGGGCGCCATCATCATGATTGCCGTGGTGCGTTGCCGGCGCAAAAAGTCGTCCAATAATCGCAATGGTGAGTATTGAGCCAACCGGCAGTAGCTGGCGGCGGCAGCTGTTGCTCCAACTGTTGCCACAGTCTTGTGCATCTGTGCCCCCATCTCTCTTGTTGCAGACACGCACGTGCAGTGGTGGTCGCGCAACAAGCGCGCCCACAGCAATGGCGCTGGCACGGGCAGCAGTGCCGGTGCCCCAATAGCCGGCAGCAGCGCCCACAACAACAACAATCATCTGAGACGCAGCAATATTTATACAGCACACCCGGCGGACAGCATACGCGGGCTGCATCCGCTGCCGCTGCCGATGTCGATGCCCATGCCGCTGCCGCTGCCCATGCCGCCCACGCTGGCGGCCACAGCTGCACCGATGCTGGCCGTGTCGCCATCGGTGGCAGGCAGCGCGCCGCCAAGCCAACAGCAGCAGCAGCAGCCACACTATTTCCATCCATATCACCATCATCATCATCATCATCATCAGCAACAGCAGCAGCAGCAGCAGCAGGCGCCCCTGCCGCCGCATTACCCGCATGACTGCGAGGAGGACGCGGCATACGAGGAGCCCGAGTACCATCAGCCACAACAGTTGCACACTAGCTCCAATTCCATGTCGTCGGTCGCGTCATCGCCAGCATCCACCGAAGCCGAAGTCGAGGCCGTCAGCCACTGGCCACAGGCCGGCACCATGGTGGTCGCCAGCTGAGAGCTGGCCGAGAGCTGCGCCTGGGCGCGTCAGCGTCGGCGCAGCCTCAGCAGCGACTGGATCTGGCAGTGACATGTTGCACGGCAACATGCTGCAGCAACACGGCCACTGGCATCGGCATCGGCACTGGCAACACGGGCTGCTTAAAATGCGGCACACAAATTCTGGTGCAGATCATAAAAAGGATTACACGTAACATTTTGTGAAGTTTATTTTGTTTTCTTGCTTGAAGCCGGCAAACCAGTCCATAAGCAGCTAAGGATTCACTTCAGTGTCTGACTGACAGCCACTGTGTGTATTGGTGCACATGTGTGTGTGTGTGTGTGAGTGTCTATGTCTCCAATTGGGAAAACCGAAACGAATTTAGTGTCACTTCCACTTCCGTTGTGCAAACTATCGGAGCAGCCAGCAAAACCAAAAAACCGACGTCCAGACAGAGGAGGTAGAGCTGGTATCCTACAGGAGAGAGAGACAGACAGACAGACAGAGTGAGTGTGAGAGTGGGAGTGAGGGAGAGGTATGGCTTACTCTTGCTCTGGCTGATGGCGGGTTATGTGGCAGCATGCTCTTTACATGCCTTGCACGTTTTATCCTTTATTGCCGTTCGGCATTAGTACAGGGATTTTGTCAGATTAAAGCAAATAAAGGGCGTGCTTTTTGTTTTCAGCTTTTTGCAACTGGCAACTGGCAACTGGCAACTGCTGTGTCGATGATGCCACAAGTTTAAATCGTTGTTACAGCGTGTGTGTGTGTGCATTTCAAATACCATATGTGAGCGAGTCTGAGTATGAGTGAGAGACAGACTTTATCGAGACTATGTGAACTTTGTAGAATAGCTAGCTAGAGTACTATATATATGTCCGGGCAATGTTAATCTAACTATATATCAGTTAACTATATATGAGAGAGGATTACAAACATTTTGATTTCACTGCGATGTTGTCCTGTTTAGGCACAGGGTATTTATGAGTCGTTCAATGCAATTGAAATGATACAACTGCTGTTTCACCCATGCCCCCATCTACATAGATATTTTCGTTTAAAGCTTTTGTCAATGCATGTGTGTGTGTGTGTGTGCTAACTGGTATCTCTGCTTGTATGGCACTGTGTTTGCTGGCTTGTTCTCGGCTGCAAATGGCACAAAACTTTGTGGCTTTTCACTTCATTCCTCTTGTTTTGTGATTACAAAAGCAAATAGTTTATATATATATAGATAGATGTATGTGTGTATTGCCATAGCAAAAGACCGAAGAACGACAGAGTGAGAGAGATAGAGAGAGTGGTGTATAAAACCTAAGCTCAAAAACGAAAGCTTTGCAAATATTGGCAGCATTTTGTGTGGGCCATCCTTACTTTTGGGCATTTAATGTCTTTATGAAAGCCAAATGTCTAAATGCGCCCAGCAAGTTTCTGTCAACCTATTATAATCTCTTAAAGTATTTGTAATAATCCCAGGAACATTTAACATTTGCAGTTGCATTCAATAAAGCCTAATACAAAATTCATGTCATGCATATCAAATAAGCTTAAACTACAACAACTACAACAAAAGTACTTAAAACAACAAACAAACAATGTAAATACACTGTAAATATATAAATACATATATATATGTATACTATATGTACTTATTTTGCAATTCTGCAATTTTTGCTCCAATTAGCAATTAATTCAATGCGAAAAGTTTCTTCAACTTGAGAATAAATAATTTATGTAGAGCATTGTATTAATGCAAAAGGCAAACGGAACATTCCTCTTAAAAGTTCAAGTTATTGTTTTGTTTACAAAATATCAACAACAACAAAAACAACAACAACCAAAGACTAGTCATTTAAGTCAAATTGTTGCTATGTACAAACTATTTAGAATTATATGAAAAACAGCCTAAAACTATGAAAAAATAATAATAATAATAATAATAAAATTATAAATTACTCGTAATAATTCGATTTAATCTTTTGCTTAATTTAAATGCAATTTCGCATTAGTTTTAGAAACAAAAAGAAAACAAAAACAAAAAACACATCTGCAATATTGTATTTTAAATATTTATTCATTAAATGCACTTTTCACTGCATAACAATAAAAATCATAATAATAATTATAATAATTATAATGTTAACTAGTATCCATAATGGGATGACACAGACAGACAGACAGGCAGACAGACATCCAGTTTCATAAATAGCAAGCGAGCCAATTCAACTACTAAATGCAACTCGAAATGTTCCAATTTAGCATACATATAGCCTAACTAATTATCTGGACAAATGGACAAATTGTAWACACAAAATCCAAAACAAAAACGATTCATTTCAATAAATTGTGCAGAAATTATTCAGCAAATTAAAAACACACAAAAAAAAAAGGAAAAAAATTACAAAAAAATCATAAAACAAATAAAATAAAATTTCAAATAAAATAAATGAAATAAACACAAATATTTAATTGCCTTTTACTATTCATTTAAAACACAAAAACAATTCAGCAAATTGAGCCCATGAATAAGTCATTGAGTAATTAATTTCCTAAAGGCCTGGCTTTTGTTCTGCCTTTGATGGGTAACCCCAGTTTATCGGCCTGAACCCGGACCTGCCGTAAACCTCAGGCGAACGCCTCGCAAGACATTAAAATGAAAAACGATTTAATTTCATTTTCAAGATCTTTTCGCTGCTCAGCCAAAAAGTGAAAGTTTCGCATCGCACATTGTTATAATTTTTCTCAGTTGGAGTTGAAGGAGTAAATATTTAGGTTGCCCGGTCAAGTTGGAATATTTATGCCATTTATGACACGAAAGGCCCTCGAAACGTGTGCCACGGACGTGCAGTCCCCTTCCCCGCACCTTGCCGCAATTTTTGCATATTTGCAGCACGAAGCGAACGAAATGAAATGCACAAAAAAAAAGGAGGAAAAAAATCAGTTGGCAAGATAAAGCTGAGCCGAAATATAAAGCGCAGTCAGATTGGACAAATGCACTCCCCCGCACAGCCCCCCCAAATGCCATGCCATGTCTGTGTCTCCGAAGCCACGACGTCGTAAAGCCAATCGAAAGCGAAAGATCTCTGGAGCGATATGAACATATGGACATATGGATCGTCGTCTTACGACTCCTTCTTGTTAGCTGACGTCGTCGTCGCTCTGTCTGTGGGTGGCAGCGGGCGGAGGTCCATTTGCATATTGGAACGATCGAGCCGAATGGACCTGGACCAGACAATTGTATGTACGACAGCGCCCCAATACAACACAAGACAAACCAAAAGTGAGATCTGCTTTTCGTGGGGCTTTCCTTGGCGTGGAGGTAGCGAAAATGTCATGCGGTTTTATGACTTCATTAGCGAGAACCGGCCAGGAATTTAATGGACGCTCCATGGGCTGCCAACCACGTCTGTCCGTTGCCTTTTCCGTTGCCGTTGCCAAACAAATTTGAGGCACATTTTCGTGCATTGCCAGCGCGCCTGATGAGCGCTGCCCCGAAACCCGAAAACCGAAAGCTCGCACAGTAACCAATCAGAAGTTTTGGCCAGCAATCGAACCTAGTTAAAGTCTAGACACCATGTCACGAGCCAGGAATTGGGTGCCAGCAATGAGAGTGCTCCCAGCTGACGTTGATGATGCATTCGCTGCATTGCCTCATAATGAAGTCGTGCATGCCATTTGGGCTACATACGCTACGCTGGCTAAGGAGTTCACTCGACTAAAGAGTTGACACCTTTTTGGCTTAACTGATGCCAGGAAAAGAGAGTGCTTACATTAAATATGGAAAGTTGTGGAAGAGTTCGATTGGAGAAAGGAGGAGGGAACTACTACTCGAGGTCTTCCTTCAAGTCTTCTAAGAACCTTAGTCAATATATATATTTCAATTTGAATACATTTCAAGCTGCAATTGGTAAGACAATGGTCTCAATCCATCCACAGTACCCTATAGATCACTCTGAACAAGCGCTGGAATCATGTTATTGTCTATATGCACATTGTAAGCCAATTAAAATGGGATCTGTTTGGCTTAGAGTTGAAAGAGTTCAGCTCAATTGATTTGATTTATTGCTCCATCAAAGTCGAAGCCATTGAGCTGTTGCAATATGTATATTCGGGAAAGCTAGATGCAATAGACTGACAGGCCTACAGGCTTTCAATAACTTTCCATTGCTTTCGGCAAGCCCACACTCAGAGATACAATGTCGGATAAGAAGTACAGAGAGCAGCAACGTCTCTCAGCTGACATCTTTGACTTCTGACTGCTAGCTGACGATAATGTCGTCGTCTTCTTGTTGTTGTTGTTGTTGTTGTTGCTGGGATTGGGATTTGGGGCTGGGGCTGGAGCTGATGCCGATGCCGATGCCGACAGGCAAATCATCAGGCTATCGACAGTGCACTTTGTATGGCCCCCACATTTCCCACCTCAGCTACTCCTCACATGCATCATCATTATTATCATCATTGTCAGCTGCATGCAAGCGAAAAGTCCAACTACTGCGCATGAATGAATCACTAAGCCATGGAATCGGGCTAGGCACGGGCACGGGCACGTCGTCTAACGAGATCGGCTGCACAGATGCTTAGACTAGGCTGGCAGCAAGCGCGGCAGGAGAAGGAGGAAGAGGAGGAAGAGGAGGATGCATCATGCAACCGTCTAGCGAAAGTCGCGACAAAACTCTCATTCAGATCCACAGCCAGGCAGCCACAACTGCAGCCGTGTAGCCATAATGATGAATTAGGCTGCTGTCATGTCATGACAAAGGCGCTGCATCTGCATGCAATGCGGCTGCGAGGGATTGGCCAACTGTGCTAAGTAAGTAAACACTGGCAAAATGCAATTGCGAATGCGAATATTCAAACGTAAGTAGGAAGTGAGGTCTTAAATGAGCTATGCTCTGACAAATCGTTTGCTGTTCGACTTGGCCAACGTTTACTGTTTTCTGTCTGCCGACGGTTGTCCGCTGTCCGATGTCTGGCGCGGACTGGCGCTCCTTCTGCCTAAGTGAAATTTGGTGTACAATATGCGAGCTTTTTACTTTTTTTTTTTTTTCAATTTATCCGTTTTTTGCCATGGCACGTCATGATTGTGTTTCTGTGCCCGATTCTGCATTTCGTGCGCATGCAAATGCAACTGCAACAGAAACTGCAACAACAAACTGAGTATGGCTGCTGCCTAGGCCTCCGTTTAGCGCTTGCTAATTAATTGCGGCGGCCGAGTTGTCGCTGGCAATTAGTTTTGGCATAAGCAGATGACATGTTGTGTCATGTGTCATGCGCGTCGCAACAAATGAAGTTATTACCCACGGCTGATTGCCAGGATGTAGCACAGAATTACTGCTGCTGCTGTGGCTGCTGTTGTTGCTGCTGTTGTTGTTGCTGCTGCTGCTCTGCTTGGCCTCCTAGCTGGGAAGGTTAATTGCCAACAATAAGATTCAATCAAGCTAATGATGGAGCAGCCAAACCAGCTAGCCAGCTAACCAGCTAACCAGCTAACCAGCCTCCACTAAGCACCCCACGTTCCACACAATTGCGATTTATGAGCACAGTTATTGGATCTGACTTTCAGCTGGATCGGCTGACGTTCCCGTAGCTGGGGCGACCTTACGGGGTCGCATGCATAAAATGCAACCTCGTTGCGAGACTTTCTTTCAGCCAAGCTGAAATTATTGATAAAAATGCCAGAGTACAACATAATTTTGTAAACGTAAATAGTTTTGTAGCGCGGCTACCAAACTGAACCGTCTCCCAAATGCTGACATAGCAGCAGCTGCCCATTGAACAAGAGAAAGAGAGAGGGAGAGGGAGAGAGAGAGTAGTCAGGTTGCTTGGATTGGTTTATGGGCAGCGATTAAGGCTTCCAGGCAAAAATTACCTTAACCTTAAGAGACGGCGAATGGACTCGGGATTTGTAAGTGGTATTTTTATTGGGTATTTAATTCAGTTGAATTCTTGCCTTGGCGTAAGCCTAATCCATGCTCTCCATCAAGAGTGTGAGTATCGTATAGCATTGCTTAATTACCTGAAAAGTAGAGATTGATGTATATATACATATGTGTATAGGAACGATCTCTACTCACACTCATAAAAGTGATCCGATTGAAGGGCGGTAACGGGCTAGGGGTCACGGCCAGCGGCTTCTGTGCTCGGCTTATCATGAAGAGCAGATCACGTCGTATGACTCGCGAGTTTGGCGACCATTCAAAGGCGCCGTAGGCGGACTGGGCCACCTGATTCGAGTACTCGGTGACCATGTCGCCAAAATAGCAAAAGTAGGCGCAATGACAGAACGTTAGAAGCATAAATATAATGAAACTGGTTGCCACACGGAGGTCTTGTTTAGCGGCTAGAGTCTCGAATGTGGACAGACTTATCAGTAAAAACTGGGTTAGCATTTGCATTGTGAGCGGCGCGTAGAACACTTCGTTGACGTGATGCACATTCCTGTTGACAAAGCAACGATTCAGAACTGATCTAATCAGGGCTACGCACTCACCTTATGGCTCTCTGATGAAGCTTAATCAATCGGCCGAGCTCGCTGCGAAACTGTTCCTCATCTTCCTGATGCAGCTTGGCAAAGGTGTCCAGCTCAATGCACAGAATCTTAAAATTGATCGCCAGCTGTGCGAACAAGTGAGATGAGAAAACGTCGCAATACATAACACAGAGTACGTTGTAGGCTAGGAAATAGAATTGCCAAATGTATATGATAGCATGTGCTATGGGATGTTTTTCAGGATCGTGCCACTCGAAAGGATAAACCGCATTGAACGGCAGCTTCTGGCCCGTCCACAGAGGCTGCGATGTCGTCAGGATAATGAACATCGTATTGCCCACATACCAGGCCAATGTCAGTGAGGACTCGATCAGAAAGAACCTGCGCTGCTCGCTGCGTATGATTGGCGCCGCTGCACCGCTCACGGCCATGCAGTGGCACTCATCCACATCATTGATAATCTCATCAACGTCGTCCGCCCGAAAGTAGAAGTAGTGCCATTTGAACGCCAAGTAGAAACACTGCGAATGGGAAGCGATCAGAGTTGTATGGGCCACTAGGCAGATCGAAATTATAGCTAACCGAGATCAGCCACAGAATATTCTGACCAAAGTCGACTATATTATCGACCGATTCTGGCAGAGCAAACAGCAAAGTGACAAAGAAGAGGTTCGTCTGCAGCAGGATGATTCTATGCCAGAGGTGGCGAATGGGCGAGCGGCGCTGCTCCTTGTTCGGATAGTTGCACATGACGCTGCAGGTAAAAGATAATGAAATCGGATGATGACTACAGAGTACAGTTACTACATTAGCTGCAGCCGATTATAATAGAGCGTGGTGTGCTGCGGATGCGTTTTCTCATGCAGCACCATCCAGTAGTCCACGAATTGCTCATAAATGCGTCTCCAGCCCGTCTGGGGTATACTATAGCTCATCCTCATGGCTCAAACTGTATTGATAAGTAGGCAACTGGGCATTGCTCTTATATAGAGTGGCCTGCAGGAGTCTAGCAATGCGAGCCTGATTGCATTTATAATTGTTAAATGATATCCTATTAGAATTGCATTTATGCATGGCAGTAAAAACATTCTGCATTGCCACGCCCACCTCATCAAAGTTATAATAGAATATTGCAAATGCACATAGAATTAAGGACTGTTATAGCCAGAGACCCTGAACTGTGCGGCATATTGGCAATTAGCTTAACTGTTTCTTATAGATATGCATACGTTATATATACAAATACATATATACACATACATATACATATATATAGGTACTTGTGTTGGTGCCTTTCGGCTTACTGTCTGCAGTCAGCTCTGGCAGTTTAGCCGCATTTGCTGCACTTTTTTTTTATCGTGCGTTCAGCTAACTTTTTCCTCGGACCATTTAAGGCGCACAAAAATGCATTTTACAGTTGGCAGTTGGCAGTGGAAATCTTTAACGGCTTGTGAAAATTATTGCCTTGGCCAAGTTTGGCACGTAACGATATTCGCATTCGCCTAGAAGCGTGGCCAAATAACTTTTGACTTTTGCTATCTTTTCGACCCGCACTCAATTCAAGGCTCAACAGATGATGCCATCACCCACACACTGGGCTTATTAATCTGGATAGCATTTAGCGTTCAGTTGTCGCTGCATATTTGGCAAATGGCCAAATGGCCGATGCTGACATGTCTCATTCGTTTGTGGCATGTCCGTGGCTCTGTTCTGTTTTCTGTTTTGTGTGTTTTTTTGTTGTTGTTGTGCCACAAATGTCGCCGCTTCATTAGGCTGCGCAACATGCTCGACAGACAGCGCCAAGACAGACAATTCTGCCAATTTCCATCAAATTCTGTTGATTTCATACACTTGCAGAGGGCATAATGAGTAGATGGAGAAATTTGATTCTTATTGGATATTGAGTATCATAAAAATTGATGCATACTTAGAGAAATATGTATATATTGTCTATCAAGCAATAATCAGCTCTGCTAATCAAACTATATCAACTCGGTTAGAGTATTAAATGTTCGTTGTATTACGTCTGGTATATTGGTTTTTGTTTTGTTTCTTTCATATGGCTAGACGAACCGCTGCTGATCGAGATTCGAGCTTTCGCTTTGGCTGCGCGACGGCAGTTACCTGGTAGCTGGTAGCAGGTATCTGGTACCTGGTACCTGGCACAGGTAGCACTACAATTTGCGCGCTTGTCAAGTGTACGACAACATTACGCGCAATTGTTCAATGTCAATGCATTTGATGGGCATGAAATGCTACAGCAAACACAGCGAAAGACGCAGTTGCATTCACTGTTGCAGTCGATGAATTGTTGCTGCTGCTGCCGCTGCTACGGCTGCTGCTGCTGTCCCCATTCATTGTTTTAGGCGGCATCTGCTGGCAGTCGGCCCAACAATTCCCATGTGCTGGCATGTTGTGTGATAACGAAGCTGCTCCTTCAAGTGGGCCTTTGTCGCCGCCAGTCAAAGAGCAACAACTATGTCGAATGGAGCAGGAACTCAATTAAGTACTCCAAAGTGCTCGAAAGCAACCAAAAGTCAGCAGTCGATACGATCATAATTTACTCAACTACTTGTTTACGTTGCTTTATTAAAAATAATTCAAAGCATTCAAACTATTCATGTTGATGGAGCCAAAGTGTGCCTTTAAGCCAGCTGCTGCCCCAAACATACGAAAATCAACAGAAAAGCAAACTTTTATTACAACTGATAATAGATCTAAGCTGGCTAAGCATAGAGGCCATCGACCATCGAGCAAACATTCAAGAGCCCCCAAGTGCCCCTCCCTCCCTCCTGGCCAGTCTCTGGCTGCTCTCTCCTCGCTTCTCCTCGAGCGTTGTTCCCGGGGGGCGCAATACAATGTTTAAAAACCGCTCATTTCAAGTGATTTTTCGGTTAATAAATGCATCAAAATGTTGAATCTAAAACATTTTTATGTCGTATAATTAATCACAATTATATATTTCTATGGTCCGAGTAAATGGCCGGGACAATGGCCAACAAAGCGAAACGACTTTGGCTTGAACTTGGACTTGGACTTGTGTGCACTTGTGTGTGTGTGTGTGTTGTGGATGCGAATACTCTTGTCCCAGGCGCCACAGGGGGCTGAACGGGCTGGAGGGGGGGATTAGCCAAGCGGCGCACTAAAATTTTATGACTCTATTATGAGAGTGGCGGCCATTCAGTTCCAGCTACGCTTCTCTGCTCCATTGTGAGCGCGCGGCCCAGCTGCCATTGTTCTAGAGAGACGGAGAGCTGGAGCTGGAGCTGGAGCTGAGGCTGCATATGGGTTCTGAGCGACTGGAGCCGCACTTGGCTCGGCCTCTGCATATGCGCAAGTGGATGCCAAAGATTTCAGCATACAGATTATGCAAGCAACACACAAACACTCACACACACATGTAGCCCATGGCCGCTGTAATTTATAACTGAGCTAAAATGGCCAGCAAAAACGCTTAGCGGCAACCAAAAATAATGCACACAAATTTGCGTTGCAGCCCACTGTTAGGCGTATAATTCTCTGCCTCTGCCTCTGTCTCAGTCGCCGCCTCTGCCACTACCTCCGCCGCATCCTCTCACATATGCCACCTCTCGGCCGTTGCATGTGTCGCGTTTGGCCACGCCTCTGCCCGCTGCTCTGCTGCTGCGTCGCACAACAATAAACTGCATTCCGCGGATATTAATCACAGCAGCGCCACGCTTATGAACTTCAGGCCAGTTGCTGCTACTCCTGCTGCTTCTCCTGCTGCTGCTTCTCCTGCTGACACCTTCTGCCTCGCTGCTATTTAAGGTTTAAAGCTGCATTAGACAATCTATCAGTGCGCTCAATAAACTCTCATTTGCTCATTTTGGTAATGGTTTGCTATTAAAAATATATCCTAGCATTTGTTATTCATACAGGGTATCTGTAGAGCATCTAGCACTAGCTCGTCGAACACATTGTTGTATGACTGCAATCTGGAATATTTATTAACAATAATGCCAAGTTGTTGTCGTTGTCGTCTTTGTTGTTGTTGTTATTGTTGTTGTTATTGATTCGAGTTGGAGCTCGGCTTAGCCGCTAAGTAAATGCAGCTCGCGTTCGATCGATTGATAATGCCAACAACCAACAACAACAACAAACACTCGCCACAGGCAAACATAACAGGCGAGACATGCAAAAAATTAAAGGCAGTTCCAGTTCCTGAACTGAACTCCAGCTCCAGCACCAGCACCAGCCCAAGTCCCTGCCTCAGCCCCAGCCTCAGCCCCAGTCGCAGTCGCAGCACTGCCGGGCCCCGAAAACACAATTAATATTTATGACCTTGCCTAGCTGATATATTTACCTGGGCGCACACGAGTAAATGGCGCGATTTATCATCGGCTTGGCTCTTGGTCAACGGCTGGACAGCAGATACAGCCACAAGGATAATAGAACTGTTAACATGAAAATAAAATTCAAATCTCTATCGCAACGAGTCATATGCACACACACATATACATACATACATACATACATCTGTGCATGCGCCTGACTGCATGCGTCCAAGTAAAGAAATTCCATTAAAATGCATAGACTTTGCATGCACATTAAATATGCATGTGTGTGCGAGTGTATGCGTGTGTGTGCCTGTGTGTGTGAAATTATGTATTCAAATTTCACTAATTAGCTGCCAAAAAAAAAAAAAAAAGAATATATAGAACTCGCCCAAAGTTCATGTCATGAGGGCAACCTGCTGCACATATCGGAGCCGGCACAAGTGCTGCACTGCCTCACTGGGTGGCTAATTAAGTCAACTCCCGTAGCAACAAACAAACAAGAGCAGTAACAACAACAACAACAACAACAACCTTGGGTGTGTGCATATTTCAGCATGAAAATATTCATAATTAGAGTGCGTGAGTTCTTACCTCAGGGAATTTCCACCTAGTCGCTGCGTGTGTGTGTGTGTATTGGTGTAATGGCATAATTAATTTATTAATTAGTTTTCTTCTTCCAACTTCTGTATTTTTTTTTCGACTGCCGGCTCACTGAAGCATGAGCCGTGGCCGACACAGCGGGCGGGCCTGCAAGAGCGCGTAATTGAAGCGGCCCACGCACAGGTTGCGCCGAGTGGCCAAAAGTCTCCGACATTGAGTCAGGTTCAAGGTGGCTTCGATGCTGGTAGGGAAACGGTAGCGACAACAATTAAATGATCCTAACCTCCGGCCAAGTCGGCAGTCGGACAGGCCATGGCAATACCCAAAACGAGCTCCATTCAATGGCAATTATCAAGAGCCAAAACAGATTTTTGTATGCAAGTTGCAATTGGCGGCGCTTTTCATTGTCGGCTATGCGCGCAATGCGACGACCTCCATCGTTGTCGTTGTTGTTGTTGTTGCTGCTGTTGTTGCTGTTGTTAGCGCAGACAATTGCAAAATTGTCGCCAGCTCTTAGCCAGAATTGAGGAACTGAAACTCAAGCAGCAGCCAGCCTCAGTTTCAGCTTCAGCTACAGCTACAGCTCCAGGCTCATAGGCATACCTGTCGCGCATACCCCAAATCGTTTAGCAATTGACTGACGATTGTTTCTTCTTCTTGCTATACACTTTTCGAGAGTTTTTTGAAGTGAACATAAAATGTGTGTGTAAAATAAAGGAGAACTTTCTCTCTGTGTAGACGAGCAACAGATATGAATCTAATGTAAGCAGCATATTATAGATCGTAGAGCCTTTTAGACTTGCTATGCTAATTGCAGCCAAATCTGACCTATATATAGTAGTAAGTAAGGTACTTGTATATTTAAAGAGTATTTCAGCTTCGGTGTGACATTTTATTCTGTTGTTTTTGGTTTTTCGAACTTGAGCGCACAAAAGGCCATTCGGCTCGGTAATGTGGCCGTTACCTGCTGACGTTCAGGGCCAACTGCAACTGTTGGCCAAGCTCATTGTCATCAGCGTTTGGCAATTCATTGGCCAGAACCA